GTTCGCTGCCATGTCCTAGCACAAAGGAAATGGAGGTAGAAGGTTAAAGGATGTGGGTTCCCTTTCCAATCTGTAAGTGGGTATGCAAAGGACTTCTAGATAGAAGGAACTTGAGCAAAGCATAGAGAGGTGACACTTGAGGTTATGTGTTTCTGGGATATTAAGTAACTGAAAGAGGCAAGGAAGAAGAGAGGGAGTAGAGTTGAGCCCTGAATACTATCTAAGCAGTTTGAGCGTTATTCCATAGCCCAGTGTTTCCCAAACTCATCATTGTGATGCCACCATCATGCCTTCTGCCATCCCTGTGTATTTTCTTTAAATTAGCTCATTAAAGAAATACACATACGTGTTTAAAAATAAAACTGCATCTCTTGTAACAGAAAACTAGTACCACTTACCATATATGGAAGACAGTCAAGAATGTAAGTACAATGAAAACAAGTGTCATTAAATTGTGCTAAATATGGTTACCTGCCCAAGGCTGTGAGTCTGTGTCCTGCTCTGTTATAAAGAGATAAGCAAGTGTTAGGCGTTAAAGACATAGTTTCACTAAACAGAAACACGTCTCCTTGATGTCTAGTCAGACAGCTGGAGACAGATTTGGACAGGGAAGAGCAGACATGTGCGAGCTAGTGTTACTTAATGGCATGCCTGGGTCTCACCCCAAGCTGAGAGATACCCACACTTGGGAAATGCTGCTCTCAAAGAATGGGTGTTTGAGCAGGGTACTGACACAGTTCCATTGCTCCTGCCATTCAGCATCTGCTCCCAATCTAGTTTTTCAGTCTTCTGTGACATTGAATTCTTTTTTTAAAAGTATGAGACATGATGTCATTGTCTTTCTCAATTGACACTGCTTCCTTTTGGTCCTTTCTTTAAGAAGTTGATAAAACATTTATTTAAAGAAACCAGATTCTTATTTCTTTTGCCATATTTGAAATCCAACACAGGCATTTATAGGTAGAGAATAATAAATAGTAAAACCTAATTTATCTAGAAGGAAAGCTGAGGAAAGCCAGTTAGCAAAAAGCCCAAATTTACCGATGGTTAGTGAAGTAAGCATGTATTTCTTTCAAGCAATTTCTGTAAGTGGGATGGGCTTAAATTCAATTAATTTCAAAATCAGGATTTAAATAATGAATTAGGAAGACAGCTTGTGTGTGTGTAGATAAAAATCATTTATTCTCATTGCTGTAAATTAATCCATTTGTAAATTACCATGGTTTATATATACAATTACGGTTGATAGACATTTGAATAGTTCCTAGATTTGAGCTGTTAAGAACATTCTACCAACACTCTTTAATGAACATGTGTACAAATTTTCATATTTGTTATATACCTATAAGTGGAACTTTTGGCTCATAAGGTATGAATATAGTCAGCTTTAGAATAGGTTGTAAAACAGAAAATGATTGTACAATAAATAGTCTCATCAGTAGTTAAGGGAATTCTTTTTTTAAAAATCTTTTTCACTGTGGCTATTCTGGAGGGACACCATTTTTTTTCTTTATGCAACTAAAAGTACATTTTCTTGCAATATAACTTTAATCTGTACCTTTTAAACTTTGGAGAAATGATGCATATAATCTTTAAGGAATTTATTTTTAAATTGATTAGTTTTAATTTATTAGAAATGCTTTTTCTGATACTTGTAGTTAATAAATTGGGGCAATCCCTACCTTCCACCCCACTGCCAACTAATTGTAAAATTACTTGTAAATTCATGTAACACAAAGTCAACACTGTGGTATTCTAAGTTACTGTTCCATGCCACTTTACATGAATAATCTTTTTTAATCCTTACCCCAGTAGGTATATTTTAAACTTCATTTTCCAGGTGAGAAAACTGAGCTTTTGAGCAAATTGGAAACTCCTTGAAGGTCATTCAGCCACTGAGCAACGCAGTGGAGGACTGGAGCCCAAGTTAGCCTGATACTGGTGCCCAAGGTTCCAGGCCCCACTTGATATGCATTTTATGTTGGCATGAAAAAAAAATAAAGAATTGTACAGCAGAGTTTTCTTTCTCTGGTTCTACATTGTGCTTTTCTATTTTTTCAAATACTTTTGAGCCCTTAACTTAAATCCGTGCACAGGAAGCAAGCACTGTAGGCATACTTACTGCTAATAACAAATGGCATTGTATCAGGGTCTGAGAGATCCATTTTGCTTTTAATTGCAGGGGTTTCTTTTCCACACGGTAAGGAAAGTTATAATCCTAAAATCTCTTTTGTCCTGAAATTTACTAGACTAGATATAGAGTGATAACTAGTGGATATAGGTTTTGTATCTGAATGTTCTTCAGAAATTAAAGACTGGCTTTAATTCTCTGTACCAATAATATCAGAAAAAAGGTGAACTTTTGGTGATTCATATTCTTTATTGAATTCCCAGAGCCTAGCACAGTGTCTGGCATACTGGCAGATCGTTGGCATTTAGTAACTATTTTTTGAGTGAATGAGTGAACCAAAGTTTAAGTATTTGCAAAGTGTGGACAGGATACCTAAGCTAAGTCTTAAAAAAAAAAAATTCTAGCTATTGAAAAAGCAAAGAAATGTGTATTTATTATAAAAATCAAAACAGTGTATCTGTACAGTAAAAAAGGAACTCCCCATTTCTCCTGCAGTGTATTTTTACTGTTTGTTGTATTTTGCCAGATGTTTCTAACTTCTTTAATTAGATTTTTATAATTTTATCAACACACATACAGTTTAAAATATATAAATGCAGTCGTATAACCCAGTGTCTTTGCAGATTGCTTTTTCCCTGAAGATGAAAATCTTGGAGATTTCCCAAATCAATATGTATCAATTTACCTGATTTTTGAAAGTTCATATTGTATTCCACCCTCTGGATGTGCTGAGTCATTCGTATTTAGTTCTTCTGCTAATGTACTTAACAAAAAATTGTTTTCAAGTTTTTAAAATCACAAACTATGCTGCAGTAACTGGCCAGCCTTTTACTCCATGTACACACACGTGTGTGTATTTCTGCAGGCTGGACTCCTAGAAGTGCGGTTCTTGAATCAAAGTGCAGCAAAATCAAGGTGTATTAAAATGTTCATACTACCAAATCAAACCACCCTCCAACGGCATCCTCAATAGTTCCTCACATTCTCCATCTCCCTGGATAGCATCAGTGTTCAACCAAGGTTGCCAAACCTATCCAAACAATTTTTCCCCTAATAAGAAGGTAATACATATATATTACATTTCCCAATTTTGCTATAGAGAAGCAAACAAGAAAAAAGATAGGTCATTCATAATCTACTGCTAACATTTTGTTATATACCCTCCCAGGGCTTTTTCTGGGTATTTGTACACATATAATTTAATAAAATTTTAATGCATTACTTATACATTATACATAATATGCAATTTTATCCTTTATTTTTAATGGTATGTCATATAAGAATACATTGTAATTTATTTACATCATCCTCTTTTGTTGAAGAGTTGGATTGTTTCCAGTCTTTCATGGTTATTATCAACTTGGAGCAATGTTTTATGAAAATCCTTAATGTTAGGATCAAAAGCTAGACAGCATTGTCCATTAGAAATATAATGAGAGTGACAGATAGGAGCCAAATATACAATTTAAAATATTCTAGTAATCACACTAACTATATCCAGTATATCCAAAATACTATCATTTAAACATGTAATCAGTGTAAACATATTAGTGAGATACTTTGTATTGTTTTTTTTCCCATTAAGTCTTTGAAATCCAGTGTGTGTTTTACACTAGAGCACATCTCAGTTCAGATGCTAAAATTTCAAGGTTTAAAATAAAATGTAGTTCTATCAAAACAATACAATTATGCTTAACAGAAGAATATGTTACACGGCTTCTGTTTAAAATTTAAAATTCCATTCTTAGTCACACTAACCACACTCTAAATGCTCAGTTAGCCACACACGGCCATTGGACTAGCATTTTGAACATTTGACACAGATTAAATCTATTTCACATGCCTGCTTCTCAGTGCGTAAAATTAAAGCACAGCTGAGAGTGTGCCAGCATAGAGGATTTGAGAATCCACTGGCAAACGTCAAGATGTGAAAAAAAAAAACTGAAATCAGGATTAGAAAATCTCAAAAACGAGGTGAAAGAATCAGGAAAGGATTAGAAATAAAATAAATATTTTATTAAGATAAACAGATGAAAAGCAAAGGCTCTCCTTGTTCCAAGTTGGCAGCCTGGGGTGTGTCTCCCCCTTTTTTCTCTGCTCCTGCACACATGTATTGCCTTTCTTTTGTAATGTGTTAGTTTTTACACAATTTGCAATAAAAGAACTTTTCTTTGTTGTGCCATGGCATCCCTCAAGTAGTTAGGTGCAGGTCCATCTCATTATAAAAGTATTTGTTAATTTGTGAATACTTGCATGTGACTTAAGATTCAAACAGTACCAAAGGGTTTAAAAACAATGTTTCTCCCACCTCTGTTCTCCTGCCCTCTCCCCTTCTCTAGAAGATTAGAAATGCTTTTAAAAGTATCTGCATTTGCAAAGATATATAAATATAAACATTTCCTAGATGAAGGAGAGTTCTTTTATCAACTATCTTGGAGACCATTCTGCATTAGTACATAGCCAGCTGACAACTCGTTTTATTTTATAGCTGCCTAGAGTTCCCTTGTGTGCAAGAACTCCCATCCTACAGATGGACTTTTAGGCTGTTTGTAATCTTTTTCTATTGCAAACACAGCTGTAAGAAATTCTTTAACATGATTCCTGCCCAGGCCCAGGTGTCTGTGGGATGAGTTCCCACACATGGAGCTTTTGGGGCCAAGGCTGTGTGCGTGGTAATTAATGTAGATGGATGCGGCCAAAAGGCCCCCACTGAAGTGTTACCAGCACGTGCCCCCCTCTGCAGATAACCTATCTTTAAAATAGGAGTAAGGAGTTCAGGCGGGGAGGGGCCAGTGGGGAGGTGCTTGCCCATCCGCCTGGTGGCAGTGCCTCTGAGACACGTCCTCTGTCCTTATCTGTGTTTCCACAGAGCAAGCTGGTGAAGTACTTCAGTCGTCAGCTGTCTTGCAAGAAGAAGGTGGCCCTGCAGGAACGCAACGCGGAGCTGGATGGCTTCCCCCAGCTCCGGCACTGGTTCCGGGTCGTGGACGTGCGCAAGGAAGTCCTGGAGGTGAGACGGCGGCCCCTGCCCCCCGCCCCTCCTCGGCCAGCAGCCAGCCTCGGGGGCAGTAGGTGTTTGGCTGTGCCTGCCACATAGTACGCCCTCAATGAATGTGTGTTGGATGAAGGCACAGAGGATCTCCGATCCTGTCCGGGTGGGTCGTTAAGAATGTGGTTCTAGATTCGATTGCAACCCGGTTCATCTGGGCACTCATCAACTCGGCCACTTTGGGCAAACAGACCAGCAGTGTCCAGCAGAACTTTCTGCTATGAAGGAAGTATTTTATATCTGTGCTGGTGGATGTCGTAGCTGCTGGCCACATGGAGCTGTTTAGCATGTCAACCTTAAAAATAAAAGTTATTTTACCAGCAAAACCAGGTTTATTTAGGAATAGCAGAGAATTGCAATCCAGGGTATGTATGCACTGGTGAAGTCATAGGCAGGTCTGGAGAACGAGGGAGAGGACCTCTCTTATAGAGCAAAGGGCCAGTTGGGCGAGCTGGTCTAAGGAAACATCCATGGGGCCCATGTGTCGTGGCTTCTCATTGGCTGGGCAGTTTCAAGGTGGTGCAAGGCAGAAACCTTCCTTCTCCCTGCTGGAAATACAGTAGGTAAAACGCTGACTTGCAAAGAGACCATTCTCCCGGTGGGGTCTAGGATTTACAAGAATTGGTGGGCATGAGCACTTTCCATGCTGGCCTCCCCACACCAGGTCCGTGAGGTTTCCCTTTAATTTTCACAGGTACTTGAATTGTGCTCAGTGCATATGATTGAAGAACGGAATTTTAAGTGTACTTAATGTTAATTAATATAGCCAGTGGCCACCGTATTGGAGACCACAGTCTTAGGGCATTAATTTTCTCATCTGTTAAATGGGTTCGTGATTGTCTTCTCTAAGTAGCTGACATAATAAAACGAGAGGATCCATTTCAAATGTTCAGCTTGAGGCCTGGCCCCTAATAGACTCAGTAAATGTCAGCTTATTATTGTTATTACTGCTGTTGTTGAAAACTTTGGAAGTAACAGGCTTTCCAATAGCAAAACGAACCCAGGCCAGCTGTTGTCTTGTATCCACCCTCCAGGAGTGGACCACGTCCCTAAGCTCTCATAGATGGTGAGATTTCCTTACCCTCAGATCCCGCGTCCCCACTCTTTCCAGTGACAGGGTCGAGCCCTTCCCAATAAAACCAGCATACAACGGTGCCAGGTATTATACTCAGTGCTTTACGTGCAGGATCTCAACTGTCAAGACTGTTCAGATGTTCACAATGACCTTTAGAGGTAGGTGTGCCATTATCCCTACTGTGCAGAGCAGGAAACTGAGGCCCAGAGGTCAAGTGACTTGCCCTGCTGGTGGGTGGGTGGGGCTAGCCGGAGAACCCAGCCTGGGTGGCCTCTGGAGCATAAGGCGGGAAGCATGGTGCCTTTGCCGCCTTTCCTGTTGCCAGGGTATCTCTGAACAGGGAGGAGAAGGGGCAGCCCCGTGGGACCAAGTCCATTTCTCAGGGCACCCCCCTCCTGCTTGAAGAGGCCTGGAGATCCTCTTCCACCTTTTGTCTTTTTCAGACCTTGTCCCCAAAGTTATTTTGCCTGAACCCACCAGATTTAACAATCCTCAGCTAGATGCAGGACCCCCACTTCCCCGCACCCACCCACCCATCTTATGCAGGAGCCCCAGAAGGTGTTTGATTCTATATTCCTTAATTTCATTCCCAGGATGGTGGTTTCCTGTGAATATCCTTAAAATGAAAGGTCCTGTGTATCTACAGACAGGCCATTTTATTTGCATGGCCCTCTATACTCTTCAGAGGCTTTTGGGACCATTTATTTATCAAGTGGGGCCACTAAGAGACAGAGTTTCTAGACCAAGAGCTGAAAACTGGGAGCCTTCAAGCTGTATCTTGTATCTGATGCACAGACATTTTTTGTTTGGCTGATACATTGTTCAAAAACTTTTTTTCAGCCAATTTTTAAAAGTTGAAAGAGTTTGCATAAAAAGTCCAGTTCTTCAGTTTCTCTTGAACAATTGGAATTGCTGAACACGCTAAACCAAATTCCTGTGTGGTGTCAATGAACTAAATTCTCCTTCTCCTGTGGATCCCATAGATTCTCTCTAGTTAGCAGCTTTGTTCATTTATATTTACCTGGTCTGCAGGTACCTGAGCCCTGGCCTTCAGCAACCGTCTGTGAGCAGCTTGAGTCAAAGGCCACCAGTCAGTGGGTGAGAATGTAGCCAAGGTCCCAGCCCTGTGTCTGTGCCTCATGCTAGCATCCACCAGGGGTCCCCTTCCTGCGAAGGAACCAGCAGTATGGAAAAAGTTCCCAAGCCAGGCTGCTTGGGTTCAAACTTATGTGCTCTGTAACCTTGGACCTGTGGTCTGACCTCTCTGAATTTTAGTGTCCCAGGTACAGATTGATGATAATGATAAAAGTACCTACTTTATGTGGTCTTTGTGGTATTAAAATGAAATCCACGAGAAGCACAACAGTGCTCTGTGTATTTCATTTTCATTTATTTTATTGAACAGAATGTATCTGCTCTTTTGGTTCAGGTTTGTTAGGCTTTCTCTGTTTCTAATGTCATCATTACTTTTGTGATTTATCTGTGACCCCAAGTTTCAGTATAAATTGGATATTTTTGGGGGGAGTAAATTACAGGATTAAAATGCAGAAGTGAATTCTGCAGCAAAGAGAATTCTCCTGTACTGTGAATCAGCCCCTGTCAATGTGATTCATTTTGTACCTTGAGATCCTGGTCTACCACTTTTCCTATAGTGGGTCTTACTTGCAATGTGTCCCTGTTTGAGAAAGTCTCTAAGTGACCCAGTTATTGTTCTCTCCTGCCCCTTATCCTAGTGAGTTGGAAAGGCACTGATTGGGCTGATCCAGTTTTTCTTCCTGGTTGCCAGTTTTAGTGGGAGTGGTGGTGGTGGTGGTGGTGGTGGTCTGATTTTGTTGTAATACACAGATTTGCCACAAGAGGGCAGAAGTATTCCACAAATTGCCCTAGAATCTCTGATCTTAGATCTCCAAAGTTCTTATTTAAATAATATTAATATATGTAAAAACGTTGGATACCATTAAGTGCTATAATATGAAGGCTCACCATTTTAAATACATTTATAGATATACTAATAGATGCATAAATATAGAAGTTTGACGAATTTCAAGGTATATTCTAAATGGATATCCTAATATGGGAAAGGTGGTGATTGGCGGTGATGAAGGGACACCTGACCAAGACATTTATAGCTGGGGATCCTACCTTTTCTGGTCCGAGCGCATCTCTTCAGAGGTGTCTCCATTTCCCCACTCCATGCTATACCACCACCATCCCACTTGTCTTAGAGGGCCAAGCCCTGCCTGGTGGGGCTCAGACACATGTCCAGTTTCATTTCCAACACTGAGCCACACACAGGGTTCCTGAGCCCTCAGTCTGATCCTAGGGTGTGCAGCTGGGGAAGAGAGCAGCAGAGGGTGAGCTGTCCAAACTCAGAGTTTGTTTTGAGTTCGCTCTGGGTTTGGGACGAGTCACTGCAGTCCACACGAAGCAGGAGGCACAGAGGGCCATCCAAAGACAAGGAAAATGGAGCCCTGCCCATAAGGAGTACAGAAGCTGCATGGAAGACAGGTCATGAACTTCCACTGTTCTGGAGTGCTGTGGGCTAAGTATACGTGCTACCTTACAAAACATGTGCGCTTGAGATGCCCATTTTACAGGTGAGTAAAGTGAAGCTCAGAGAGGTTAAGTGGTTTGCTTCAGGTCCTCTAGATAATGAGTGGCAAAGTTGAGATCAACCCAAGCCTGACACTGGGGTTGTCATGTCCAGGGCTTGGTGTCCTGCTGCATACCACTAGAGGGCAGCGTGGAGGCCCAGCCCACTTCCCTCAGGGCAGCTTGCCGTCTATTTATGTCCCTCTCCCTACCCTTTCCTAGGAAATCACCCCTGGCCAGCTGAGCCTGGAGGACCTCCTGGAGATGACGGATGAGCAGGTGTGTGAGACCGTGGAGAAATACGGAGTCAACCGGGAGGAGTGTGCCCGCCTCAATGCCTCCCTCTCCTGCCTTCGGAATGTGCACATGTCAGGTGAGAGGCCCAGGGGGCTGGACAGTGTCTCCCAACACATCTGCCGCCGTCCCTGCAGATTCGTGGCGCAGCTGCAGGCCTGGGTGAGGCAGTCAACCCTGGGTGCTGAATACTGCTTACGAGCAGAGGAAAGAGGGGCCTGGAATTTGAAATCCAGGAGTGGTCAGGGCAGCTCTTGGGCATCTTGTCCAAGGGAGACCTGTGGTTGTAGGGCATTTGGTTCTGGATAACTAGCATCCAGATATGGAGGTACAGGATGTGCATAGGAGACCAGGGTCTTTTTACCTTTGGCATTCTGAAGTGCCTTTGCATCTGGGGTCAACATCTGACGTGTTATTTTTTACATGAACAAACATATACTTATTGTAAAATAAATGAGAAATTAGAGAAACAAAAGTAAAATGATTACCCACCTAAGCTCCACCCTCTAGGGACCCTACTATTGTCATTTTGGTGTAATTTTTGGTATAGTTCCTCCACACATATGGGTGTGTGTATACTACTTTTAACAATAGAATTAAGATTATCTGTACATACTATTTTGAAAAGCATTTTTTTTTTCACCTAATAATCTCTGTGACTTGTTTTATCAGTTTGGGGTCCAAATATGTTGTCATCTTTCTTTGATCTTTTCCATCAATTGCTCAAACTCCTATTCACCTTCATTAGCAGGACATCAAATATCCTCTTGAGACTTCCTGCTTCTTTCTAGCCTTGTGATTTTCTCACAAATTCTGGGACCTCCCAAACCTAAAGGTATCATCAGCCCAGCAGAAACCACCTGCACTGTTCTTTCGGTTCCCACCACAAGATGTCACTGTTGCAATTAGTCTGGCCCCTCCGTTGGATCCACAATGGCCTTGCCTACCTCGCGATAAGAATTTATTGAGTGGCTACTATGTGCCAGCAGGGCAGCGGGTACAGCCGTGAGCAAATGAGACCGTATTTGAGACAGGTCGTTGGCCCAGATCCCCCCTGCATGTCCTTTTGTATTCTTTCTTGCTAGCAGATCCTGATCAAGGCTGCAATCATTATCAAAAGGGGCCCAGAGTTGGGGGCTCTCCTGTCATTGAAGGACATTTGGTGGCATCCATGACTCCACCCACTAGATACCATAACGTCCGCCACATCCCAATCATAACAAACAAGAGTGTCTCCAGTTACTTCTAAATGTTTCATGGCGTGAGACACAGAATCCCAGCCCTGTAGCCCCAACTCCCCAGCCTTGACTGGTTATAGAGGTCATGTTATTCCTTACTCTAGTACAATACCACTGACTCACCTAACGTTTGCATGGCTAAGAGGGCCCTCTGAATTACTCCATACAACAAAAATCTGTTCCAAGGTAACGTCCCCTCTCTACCTACAGTGGGACACAGCTGGATCGCACCAAATTGCAGTGTTAGAGCATTATCATCTTCCTTTGTCAATAAGTGTATTTCCTCCTCAGTTTTAATGCTCAAACACTGCCACTGTTTATTCAATCTATTTTTAGAAATTTAGGTTGTAACCACATTTTCCTATTATAAGCAGTATATAGTGAACCGTTTTAATTGTTATCTTTGGGTACCTCCATGGCTATTCGTTTGGTGTGGATTCATAGGCATGGGGTTCCTGCAGCAGAGTTTACATATTTTATGACTTTTGGTGAATATTGCTGTGGTGCTTTCCAGAAAGTGCACGTGGACTTACGCCTTCTCGTCCACTTCTGTCCCTGCAGTACATCAGAGTAAACAGTGAGGTTAGGTGCTTAATTGCTTTTCAGAGTTCATACCATTTCACCAGTGTTGTGCTACTGAGTTTGGTGAAGTCCTTTTAAGTGGAAAGAGCCTTTAATCTGGTGTTTTTCAAACTGTTGATCAGGACACACAGAAGCAAATACAATGTATATTGCAACCCTGTACACACACACACACACACACACACACACACACACACACGTATGTATGTTACTGGACCCCACTCTTGAGTTTCAGTGTTACAGAAATGAACACTGAACTCAAAGAAAGAGGGCCGAGTTTACTGGAGCCTGTGTAGGAGGGATGGGACAGGAGGAATGTCAGGGTCCTGGAGGGGGGTTGTGCATAAGGCTTGCAGAGGTAGTTTCAGAGGGTGAGGGGTTTGGGGAGGAGTCCCAGGATCCCTATCTTGCCTGGAGAATGGAATGTCCTTATCTGTGGTTTCCAGGGGGCTCCAGGCAAGATTCCAGAAACTTAGGAAGGTCTGCTTAGAGGGCAACAGAGAGGGAGAGGTATAATTTCTTAGCTGGTTTCAAAATGGAATGAGTTAGGCTTTGTTAAAGCCTCTAACATGTACACATACACAACTAAAGTGAGCTTCATGAAATAAAGAATAAAACATCAAACTCACTTTTACCATGCCTGATATTTACATTCTTTTATGTGTTATTCTATGTCACTTACCAGTTGCTGGTAGTGAACAACCACCTCCATGTCACACCTCACTTCCGGGTGTGAGTCACGGTCTGAGAAACACGCATCTCACTGATCCTTGTGGGGGAAGGAAATACTTTTCTCTCGACCTTTCTGGATTCTTGGCTGAGACAATCCCTGTAATTTGTACAGAAGACAATCAGGAGAAAAACAAACAAGTTTAATAACACAAATACCTCCTGTATACAAGGGAGAGAGCCAAGAAAACTGAGTATGTTCTTGAAAAGGCCCCAGGCACCACCTCGAATAACATCTCCAGCACTAAGGACACAAGATGTGGGGGAGAAAGAGCAGAGTAACCAGAAAGAGCAAGTTAAAAAGGGTTAGGCTGGTGCACAGATACGTCTTTGCCTTCTCCTTCGATGTTTCTAGAAACTTAAGAGTCACTTTTTTTCTTCCTGTTGCAGAGGGGGACACCCTTACAAATGGAGAGTCTCCTTATAAATGTAAATGTCTCTTATAAAAGGGTAACTTCTGCTCGGTTGTCAGAGCTTCGTTTGTGTCTGCTGTTTCTTATCAATAATCAGCCCCAAATCATCCTCATGCCAAAGAGATATTTTGGGGTGGCCGTTTGCTCCTCTTCATCTCCCTGCCTCTCCCGACTCTTCCCGGGCAGCCGGGATTCCGTCTGTGATGTCCTGCCTCCAGTGCCAGCCTTAGAGCCCCTGGGACCTTGAAAGCAGCAGCTGAAGGCTGCCATTTGCCCCATCCCAGCTCTTAGCTCTGGGGTCAGCGTATGCAGACGCTCAAAGCAAAGGACTACCCACTTCTGCCCTTCCCATAGGCAGTGGTGCCACATTGCACGTTTTAATTTTAACCTTTTCTGGGGAATGAGTTTTTTGAATGGATGCCTCTCTGCCACTAGACTAATCTGCAAGAGCGCTTGTCTCTGCTCATTGTTTTATTCCCAGCCAGGGGTTCCCAGCTCAGTATCTGGCACATAGTAGTGGCTGTAGGGGCCAAGAACAGGCTGCCCCAAGATGTGCTGTTATGACATGCAGATGATTTCAGAACTGAGAACAGTCAAGGCCGGAAAGACTCAGAAAGTCTGACCACCCTACGCCCTAACTGCATAAAAAGAATTCAGCTGGAGGAACTGCCCCAGGAAGAGAGCCACCATCATGGGTTCTACATGATGATGTATGTGACTTAGGGGTGGCCGACTGGGGGGAAGGTGGCAATCTGTTAAAATTCTCCTCTATGTTCCATTGTTTCCATGTGGCCCAGCAAACATTTAGTTCTCCTATTCCTGCGGGCTGCTTCCCTTTTCCTTTGAAGTCTCAGACCCCCACCCCCTCCTCCTTGCTTCAGGACCTATATATTCCTCATTCTCCCATCTTTGGAATCCGTATCTATGCCTTCCCTGTATGTATGAAATGAAACTTCGGTATTTTTCTCCTGTTAATCTGTCTTGTGACAATTAAATTCTTAGACCAGCCAGAAAAACCTCGAGGGGAAGAGGAAAGTTCTTCCGCCCCATCAGGACTCAATAAATATTTCGGAATCAGTGCGCCTTCCCGCACAAATAGCCTGGGAAAGCCCCCCACTGCTTCCAGTGTCTTTCTCCTGGATTGCAAAGAAGCCTGGGGTTTGGCCTCTGTTTGCAGCCCCACAGCTCATGGTTCCCCCGCAAGCCCCAAATGTTGGGCAAATCTTTTAGTTACTTAGGGTTTCCTAGATCAGCATGGATTTCACATCTTGGTACTCAGCCCACTGCCTGGAATTCCCTTCCTGCTTTGTCTTCCCTGTGAATCCCTCCTTACCCTCAGACCCAGCTCTTGTGGCACTTGTTACTGGAATGAATGAATTGGACTATGATGGCTGCTTCTTCTGCCACGTGGCTGCTTTTTCCTGATTGTCGGTTTCCTCGTCTTCCTCTGTCATCTGACTGACCTTCCCCAGGGAAGGTGCAGTTGGCCGACTGGGGTCTAGGTTTCTTGCCGGAAAAGCTGCGTGACGTGCTTGCTACTGATCTCCTCTAGGGGGAAGCAGTGAGCCATCCGCGAATGATTCTTCTTTTAAATTGTCTTCCCCTCAAAAATGATCGTTGTTCCTTGAAGCTTCTGATTATCTTGGGAGCTGGATGGTTCCATCATTTCCTGCCCTTCACCTTCACCAAAAATGTTATCCCAAACTAGGGAACAAACTAGTGTCTTTCTTGCTTCTTGAGGGTTACACCATATTTATTCGTTTCGGTATCCCCAGCCCTCTGCCGGGGAGCTGGTGTCTCCTACAGTGATGAAAATCAGATGTTTTAAATTCTGGCATGTAGTGGGGTCTCAGTGCATGTTTGTTAAATAACTGAAGTCAAGCAAGTGGTACTGAGAAGCCCACGTGGAGCTGAGCATATGGATGCTAAAACCAGGGAACTTCATGCCTGGCCAGGCCCGTGTGTAATGTTTGTCTCCTGGTCTCTCCCTTGGAGGATGGGGGCAGTTTTATTTTAGAGTTGTGACTCTAATCTTTATTCGCTCCTTGGGTTTTGGAGATATCTGTATTTCCCACTGCCCAGTGAGTCCCAAAGTTAGGAAAGGTTAACCCTGCTTC